ACTATTGTCACCTTGAATAGAAATCTACAAGAAAGATGAGCTATAAATCCAATCACTCAATAAATCAGTGCAAATATGACTGATACTTTTCTTCAGCAAAACACATAGAGATATGCACTGTTACATTTATTTTAAAGTAATACTGATTTAAAACTTTGTCTTCCTTCAAGTTGGAGCAAGTAGTATAGATAATATATGCATCCTCTGAAAACAAAGGAAAGGGATTGTGATGGGGTTTGGGTAGATAGAGACTTTATGTAAAAATAGAAGTAAAATATTGAGTCAAGCAGGCTGCCATTTGGACAAGTTCTTCAGCTCATTTTACATGTAGGCTTGAGGGCACCTGGTTAAAAAAGAGAACTAAATATAGAATATTTGTTTCCTCAATTACAATTTGAAAACCAATGACTGTATATTGATATATAAGGATAGGTTTGGGTGCTAAAATTATGGATTTTGATATGACCCATAGATAAGTAAAACATCGAGACTCGTCATGGGGCTCCTTAGATCCATTCCATAGAGAAGCAAAAATGTCAGTGCTACCTCAGGTAGCAGGCTGTCCCAGACCATCACTGCCATTTCCTCACAATTCTACCTAAAAGAAATGCTGCCCCTCTACTCTCTCTAGCTTGCTTTTGCAAGACCTGGGCAGAAAAACAATGGTGATGGTAGCTCTTTCTTGCTTCACTGTCTTTCTTTCCAGAAGTTTGGTTGGGGCTTCCCCACCACCATGGTAGAGAGTAGCTTATTCCATCCCGAGAAAGGCCAAAGGAAACATGCATCCCCCTTCTCTCTGTGGAAACCTGGAATGGATGCTGATTTATTGTCTTTGGTCTGCTTTCTCTAGTTCATCTCTGCTGCTTTGCCATTCTTGGTTCTCCATAGCTCACTTGTTTGCTTCCTTAGAGGGAATAAGACTGAGGGGGCCAGCTGCAGACAAAGGTAGCTGGATGGCAGAGAAGGGCCAGAGAAGTCAGCCCCTTTAGAAGTGGAAAAGGAGGAGGAGACAAACAGGTAGGCTTTGGACAACCTTGCGTGGGAAAGCACCAAAGAGTATCAGAGGAGATCTTACTTTTAAAAATGGCTAGTGAAATCTCATTTCCCAGTGGTTAGGCGAATCCTTGTTGACACTAATAGGAGTTGTACTTGCCTTTGATTAGACAGATACATGCTGGTGATAGTACAAAACCTCCAACATAAAGATTGAGAGGTGGGTTGTCTCCAACAGCAAGACCTTGTTTCCTATGACAGCTGTGATGCTGCTGCCACCGCTGCTCCCAGATAACCACTAACATGTTTGAAAGAGACAAGGAGAAAGAACCCCTGCTCTCAATATTAGATAGGTTGCAGTAAATAAGTACATTTAATGTACATAGATACATGCTTACAGAAGAGTATTTTTCCATGGATGGTATCAATGATCTATGTGTTCATCTAATTTCACAGCACATTAACTGCCATGGCTCAATGCTATGGAAGCATTACAACTCTCATGATCTTGTAGCACTGAGCCATGACAGTTAAAGTAGTGTCAAACTGCATTAATTCTACAGTATAGATTCATCCATAAGAGTTTGGACAGTATGGCTGCCTTATAGTAATTTGGTTAAGGTACTTACAAAAAGTATGAAGTTAGTATGTGAGTGATATGCCTAGACAATGAGAAATCTATGTTCCTCCCCAAGGATAATAGTATGTGTTTGTATATATATGTGTGTTTGTCTATTTGAATAAAAAAGGCCAATAAATTGTTTGCATGTTCTCCTAAACACAACACCTAATAGTGTTTCTTTATGCTAAATCAACTATACTGCTGTTGACTAATAGAGAGCCCAGGTAGCCAGAAGGTGATGGGAGGGATTGCCAAGCAGATACAATAATAGCTAACAAGTGGTGAAGAATTCCCAGTCTGAAGAGATAGAGGGCCTCATCATATGAAGCTTGGGCTCCATCCTAGGACACTTCCAGGACAGAGCACACCGGTGCCCATCACATGACACAGGGCTACTTCGAGTGGGGCTCTGTCCTGGAAGTATCCTAGGAGGGAACCCCGAGAACATGGGTGGCTGCTCATGTTCTCATTAGGTAAGTCTGTGACAGTGTTGGGAGGGGGTTGATTCAAGTGTCTTGAGGTGTGCTCTGCTGCCCCACAGATGCCCCTGCTGACCCTCGGCTTGAGGACCTCAATGCAATGAGGTTCCATGTCTGTTTCAGTGGCTCAGGGGGATGTTGTGGTGTTCTGGGGGGCATGGTAGGGTCTAAGAGGAGTTTAGTGGTTGCATGTGTTCAGCAGTTTTCACCTTTCCAATATCTGCCATAAATATTAGAACTTGGAAAACTAGTTTTCTAAGTTTTTCTATTAAAAGAAGCAGTATATAACAGCTATATTTTGCCCTGAAGCATTTAAATTCTGAGATTGCAAGCACACAACACAGTCACTAAAAATGGCAACTTTGTGTCATTTTCTTTCCATTCCACCTGTAACATTAGTCATACGTCTCACCATCCCTTTTGTCAACCAGAAACTGTCAATAATATGGAGATGGATGAGGAATATGTTAGGTAATTTTGAGAATGGTGAGACCTTGACACAATTTGGGCATCAATCCAGCACTGAAAAACACATATAGTTTTGTTCTGAGATGAGTAATTGGGGTTTGGTTATTAGGAACCAGAAATCTATGCCTCTGAGTTGTTATTCTCCCAAATTTATTGCTGCATGATTTTTTAGACTAGAGGCCATCTGAGAAAGGGAGTTGTAGTCCATGATAACTCATGATATAATAAATCTGCTAGTTAAATGGGCCACACCATTCTTTGTGACTCTGAAACAGGCTAACAGGACAGTTGACCTATTTTCCCATCTATTGCAGTAGTCAAAGATTATAGTTGATATAAGCATTTTTCTCCAAAACAGGTGGTCTTTTATGGGCTCGATCACAAAATTTAAACAAAGAGGAAAAGCCCATTTATCCAAATAGTTCTAACATTCCAGAACTTCATGGTAAACCAAATATCACAATCTGGCAAATCCATGCAGAATCCAGGGAGAGTCATATAGTTTTTCCAGTAAGAAGGAATGCATTTGTGTTGACTCACAGAAACCTGGAGATAATATGAAAGATAATATGAAAGGTTGATAATTGATTTAACTTCTTAAAATCCAGTTTGAGGAAACAGAATTTATGAGAAATACAATTATGCAGCCCTAGGCCTTTGTTACTAGAATCAGTTAGGTTTGTAGACCTTCCTTAACTATCGCATAATTACTAATGCAACATAAACATGGGGCATATAGATTACATGTCATCTCTAACTTTAACCATATTATGATGAATATGAAAAGCATATTTGATCAGTGCTGTACTATCTGCTTTAAGAATATGAGGAGAGCCTTGATAGTTCAGACTGAAGAGCCATCAAAACTGTTGGGAAATTGAAAAATAGGTTGTGAGCATAGTACTTTTGCATTGCTGAATTGCAGTCAAGAAAAATAAATAGTTGGAACCCTATTTGTGTTTATATCATTGTCTTGCTTTGCTCATTTCACCTCATCCCTCCATTGTTTGTCTATGTTTGTTCCTTTCCTTGTCCTTTTCTGTTCCTCATAACCATTACTATGGGCCCTTTTCATTCTTATAAATTGTGTTGTTTGAAATGTGAAGGTTTGAAACCTAATATGTTCTTCTTGCAAATGTGGATCTCTATATATTGGAGTAGTGCTAGAAAACATTTCCTGGAGGGAGGCCTATGGGTTCTGTGTGTCATTGAAAATGTATCTGTTGTCCTTACCAGAAAGTAATGACAATAAAGTAACAGACCCGTGTGTTCAACTAGGTGCAGATGGATTGCTACTGGGTAAATGATTACATTAAACTGTTACCAATTATAATAATGTTATCACAGATTCTTATAATTGGAAGGGACCATAAGGGCAACTATCAAATCCCTTGCCATGCAGAAATACACAATTAACATTCTCCTGAAAGATGCCCATCCAGCCTTTGTTTAAATACCTCCAAAGTTTAGACGTTCATAAACATCTAAAGCAGCATTTATTAACTTAGGGGTCAGGACCCCTGGGGGGAGGGTTGCCAGGGGGTGTCAGAGAGGTTGCCAAAGACCATCAGAAAACAGTATTTTCTGTTGATCATGGGAGTTCTGTCTGGAAGTTTGGCCCAATTCTATTGTTGTTGGCATTCAGGATGCTCTTTGATTGTAGGTGAACTATAAATCCCATCAAATACAACTCTCAAACATCAAGGTCTATTTTCCCCAAACTCCACCAGTGTTCATATTTGGGCACACTGAGCATTCATGCCAAGTTTGGTCCAGATCTATTATTGTTTGAATCTACAGTGCTCTCTGGATTAGGTGAACTACAACTCCAAAACTCAAGGTGAATGCCCACCAAACCCTTCCAGTATTTTCTGTTGGTAATGGGAGTTCTGTGTGCCAGGTTTGGTTCAATTCCATCATTGCTGGAGTTTAGAATTCTCTTTGATTGTAGGTTAACTATAAATCCCAGCAATTACAACTCCCAAATGACAAAATCAATCCCCCAACCCAACCAGTTTTCAAATTTGGGTGTATCAGGTATTTGTGCCAAATTTGATCCAGTGAATGAAAATACATCCTGCATATCAGATATTTACATTATGACTTATAACAGTAGCAAAATTACAGTTATGAAGTAGCACGAAAATACTTTTATGGTTGGGAGTCACCACAACAGGATGAACTGTATTAAGGGGTCATGGCATTGGGAAGGTTGAGAACCACTGATCTAAGGCAATTGGTTCCACCACAGAACACCTCTTACAGTTAAACAATGGGCCTAAACATCCTAAAAATAGCAGATCCCATCAGAACTTTGAAGTAAATTAGGGGCAGCCCCGGCAAAACCATATCCTGTATTCCTTATCTTAGAATTACTTTACAATATTTACAATATTTACTTAAGCAATTTACTCACTTTGTGTTTTCATTATCTGCAGGTCAGGATGTTAAAAAACATCATATGGATGTGCTGGATCTTAGCAATAACATATGCATTCCACAAAGGTAAGTTGGGTTCAATTGGCTTTTGAAAGCACTGGAGAAGTTGTTCTGTTGATTTTTGGCAGTGGACATGCTAAGTGCTCTGAGAACTGTAGCTTGAGAGTTATAATTTTAATCCACAGTTCTCATTTTGGTCCTTTACTGAGATGGGAATTGAACAAAAATGAAGGCAAACCATTTTATATCACAAGGTTTGCCACAATTTGTTTTTGTTTGTTTGTTAGGTCTCCTGTGTGGCTTTAACATCTGCTTGACAATCAAGTGCATTGTTTGCTGTTTCCAATTTGCAATGATGGGAAAGATCAACATCAGTTAAATATCTCAGCTGTTAAAACAGGGGTGGGCAACTTTCTGAGGCCAAAATGCACACATAACCCTGCTGCATCTGGAAGGACTGCACCTCCACCCATACCTCCAATAAAAAACCACCCAAACAAAGTATTTTCATAATAGCTGGGAGCCACAGAAGCAATTTAATGGAGCGCCAGATCTACATAGTTTTCACATTTGGAAGTAACTGTACTTAAAACAGCTTTGTGGGGATGGAACTGAAAAAACTCCCCATCAGTCATGGAAAGTGGGTTTTTAAAAATGAGTTCTGCAGGGATGTTTGGCCATGGGTGCACTCTGGGCTTTTCTAGGAAGAACAGGCGACAACAGTAGTCTTTCAGGTTGTGTTCCATCTTAGGTAAAGTTAGAAAATAAGAGAGCACTCATGCTCAGCTAATTCAGCTTCACAACAGCACTTTCTTGTTGAATTATCACTTGTAGCAGTAGTACATCTGAATACTATCCTATGACATGAAAAGTTCCCTCTGCTGATTTTTGAATATTATGTGTATCACAGAGACTTGTTACCAGAAGGTCAGTTACTAAGTCTATTACAACCTGAATCATTGTTCAGTACAGCTCAAGTTATATTACAAAGTGCAATACTAGTTTCCTAATGGTACTGAACAATAGTGGATTAATATAGTAATTAACTCAGAATACTTAGATGTGCTACCCTATACATTCAAAGACATAGCTCTGCTAGTCTGAATCAGGATGCAAAGAAATCCTGTAGCATCTTTGAAAGTAAGAGAGCAAAACAAGTTGGCAGCATAAGCTTTCATAGACTTAAGGGTGCATCTACACTGTAGAATGAACGCAGCTTGACACTCCTTTAGCTACCATGGCCCAGTGCTATGGAATCGTGGTAGGTACAAGATCTTTAGCTTTTCTTTCAAAGAGTGTGAGTGCCTCATAAAATTACAAATCTCAGGATTCCATAGCATTGAGACATGGCAGTTAAGTTGATGCCAAACTGCATTCATTCTACAATATAGATGCACCCTAAGATGCATGGAATGAAGCCCACACATGTGATGAAATAGATGTAGACTATGAAAGCTTATGCTATCAACATATTTCTCTCAGGACCACATCACATTGAGGTCCAGAAACGTCTTCTCTGTGCCTCTCAGGGCTGCTAGCCCACTGCCAGCACAGAGTCTCCTGGAGCCTACCACATGATGCAGGGCTACTTCTGGCAGGGTTCCATGAGAAGCAGAGCCCAGAGCAGTTCTGTGTATGCCTGACTCCTCATAGAAGAAACTGGGGAGAAATGTGAGGAAGCTGGGGACAGTGGGGAAATGTGGGAAAGGAACCCACAGCCACCGACGGTAAGGGGACGAAGCCTTATGTTGCCCCACAGTTTACCCTGCTTTCCCCCCGCTTTTTGACCTTTATATGATGAGATTCTCAAGATCCTTTTGCTTAGCAATTCTATGCATGTTCATTTCAAACCAATTTTAATTGAGAAGTGTGCATAGGATTTCAACCAGCAGAAAAGTGCTATATGGACAGAATGTATGTGCAACTGTTGATTAGACACACAGATGCGTTTATTTAAGTGCCCATAAGGCAAAACACTCTTGTTCACATGGAATAGCACAGATTGCATTCTCATATAGATACATAAGTACTTTCTGTATAAGATATTTTGTACTTATTTTTTTCCTCAACAGATTTAACTGGCTTGTGGATTAGGCAGTTAGGAGATTTTATAGGTTATAATATTCCATTGAGGTGGAGATTTCCATCACAGTTTTCACTCTTTGTAGTTAAGGTGTTACCTTTAATAACAGGCTAAATTTGAGTGTGACGTAAATGGTGAAATAATTTAAATATTTTTTAATGGGTGTAATGCTTGTGATGGTATGGTGTGGGTTAGGGAAAAATCCCCTTAGAGAGGAAAAATGTGTAAGAGCCACACTTCTTTACTGCAGTTAATCTATTTTTCCTAAAACTTCTCTGACACCCTCTTTTACTGAAGTGTAAAATACACATAATCTTTTTTCTTCAATCCCAAAATGTTTAATAACAAAAAATTGCTTATTTTACCACACACAGAGGGATAATATTGTTGCAATTCTATCTTGGTCTCTTGAAGTCCTGGAGGATTGTTTCATTCTACTTGTGTAGTTTCTCCTTATCATCATAGTATTTCCCCTCATTAATCATTTAATTGTGAGCATGTCCATTCAAAGGGACCAGCTTCTCTTGGCATCAATATATACAGCAATTGAAAGGCTTCTATTATTTCCCATTGGAACTGTCTTTATCTATGTGAGCAGACCTGTCCATTATAGAATTAGGGGAAACATAAGAATTATTTATGATTTACTAATGGATTTTGGCCTGTTTCTCAAACTCGCAAAACCAAAGCTCTTTCTTGATAGTTCAGGTATAGTGTTCCCTTGCTACTTCGTGGTTTGCTTTTCACAGACTTGCTGTTTCGTGGGTTTTTGCCTCCCTGTTTATGAATGGTTGCCATTGCCCAGAGCTTCATTCTAATCCTGTCTCCTGGCAATGATGGAGCGTGGAAGGGTGTTTCACCCCCTTGGGAGAGAGGCAGCCAATCAAGAGAGATTGCAAAGCAAAGCAGAGATAGCTAGCAAAAAAAAAAAAGTGTACGGTCCCTTTAAATCCCTCCTCGCTTCTGCCTCACCCTCAGAATGCGACATACATATATGGTCCCTACTTTGCAGATCTTCACTTTTTGCGGGTGGTCCTGGAACATAACACCTGCAATAAGTGAGGGAACACTGTATTCCATATACTTTGGGGCCTTGTAGCACCATTTGTAGCAAATTTCTTAAAAAGCTATCCTGGTAACTACGTTCTTAATAAATTATATTTTTAATATATCAAATATGTCAAATAAAGTTATACATAATGCTAACAAAACCTCTGAGAATGCCAGTCACAGATGCAGGGAAAACATTAGGAGAGAATGCTACTGGGACATGGACATACAGCCTGAAAAACTCACAGCAACCCTGTAATTCCGACCATGAAAGCCTTTGACAATACAGTGCATTTTATGTTCCTTAAAGCATGATGTAATGTTTTGAGCATTGGGCTACAGCTCTAGAGGAAAGAATTCAAATCCGCACTCAGCCATGGAAGCCACTGAATGACCTTGGCCAAGTCATATCATCTCAGCTCAGGGAACCCCCTCTGAACAAATCTTGTCAAGAAATCCTCACAAATAGGTTCACCTTTGGATCACTATAAGTTGGAAATTATTTGAATGCACATAACAGGATATATGTTAACAGAGTACCATGGTGATTTTCAGTCTAAAAAAGGAGAGGGGGTTAATAATGCGTTATTCAATATTTCAAAAAATGCCAATTATTTCCCCTCTTAAAATCTTGTTTATTTCCCATGGCTTCAAAATTTCTGAAAAGTTTACATCCCCATATAGCAGGAAGTTTTGACTCAAAGATCCTGCATGTAAATGTATGCATGCAGTTTACGTAAGAGATGCCTAGAAAACTTAATTATAGGGTGATTATATACTCTAGCTGTTCAGCATTTTTAAAAATAAAGTAGTCAGTCTGAACAAGTAATATAAGGAATCATGTGTTTTATAGTAATACACATACATGTGGGTGTTTCATACTACTACATTCTGTACGTACTTTCCGTAATATATCTGCAGCAGATGGAATGTTCATTTGCCTAGTTTCGCATGATTTACAGTAAGAGCTTGCAAAGTAACTGATCGCTCACCACGCCTGGTTTATATCCCCCCTCTCTTTACTGTACTGAAGTCAGACCACAAGCCATCTGGTAGAACAGAAAGGTTTTTGTTAGGATTCAATTTATTACTTTCATTGTCAAAGCCTCAAGCATGTTTCAGCAAGGTAGACCTGAATAGTCCTGTATATCTGCTTTAGCAATCTATACTTTAACAAAGTGGTCTTAAGGGCTGCTTTACACTTGATGAAATGCTTGCAAAGAAGGCACGTGCCTTAAGGTACACAGCTGGTGACCCACTAGCACTGTGTAAGGAAGAGCTTGTAAGTAATGCACTACAAATAATGACATCACCACAATGCATTATGTTTTAGGATAGGGAAAGTATAACAGTACTCCTTTTGCAAAATAATGTGATGACTGGTAACGGGTTATTTTTTTTACATAGGAAAGCAAGACCTCATTTACACTGGTTCTTTTTTTTTAATGCCTGATTCAATGTGCCAGATGCTGTATCATGAGTTTTCATAGGGACTCCCTCAGCTGCCATGGAGGCAGGAAGGGGTCCCTGCTGCTCAGACCATCCAGTGGCCACTCTATACATTCCCACTTCACCCCTCATGTTGCACTGGAGTCAAGATGGAGCCCTGCCAGAAGAAGCCCTGTGTAATGAGATGGGCTCCAGCAGCCTCCGTCCTGGAAGCATCTTGTGGTCCTAAGACAAAGTGTGTGCCTGCCTGCTCAGTTTGCTTTCCAGGTGGTGTCTCTTCATTATCTCCATTTTCTTGACTAAAGATGGATCTTAATTTTCAAAACAGATTTGGGCTGGACAGTCTCAAGTGTGCCTTCACATAAATGGCTGTTGTTTGACAGCCCTTCAGATGGGACTGTTCTCACTAAACATGATTTGAAGGACCACTTGTTTCTTTATCCCTTCCTGCTACTGCAGTCATTTACAGAAACTCTTCAAATAG